AAGAAATGGTAGAGTCAGTAGGTATTGTTGTTGCTGAGTTGAATAAAAACAAAGATGGTGCTCGATCCAGGAGAGCAGAAAAGGGGACAGATACAAGAAGTTTGGAAAACGGCAACGTTCAGGATGCAAATGTTACTCCACTTACCAATGGAAATGATGACGCTGTTGATTATGTACTTCGCAATATAAGTGAATATTGTACTCCTCCAGCCTCGCCACATTTAAATCAGGTCAGTTATACTCATATATGTTTATAGTTTGGTTGCGGCCATATGGGAAGCTACATATAAGGTTGGTTGGTTATGATTTACATCATTGCATTGTAGGGGGATAATCATAGTCCGCATAAAAACAACAACGGTGTGTATGATAAAGGTGTTGGGGAAACCATTAACAATAGTTTTGCACTATCCGCTCATAGCCAGAATAATGCTTTCGTAAGCATAAGTGTATTTTTAACACTACGCAAGTCTTGTTAAGAAGGTTGTTTAACAGTTTCAGATTTCGTATTGTTTCTTTGTATATGCAGTAGATAACATGATACAGAGACCTTGCATGGATATGCCTTCCTTCTCTCTAGGTCTAACTCAGGAAGAACAGTTGAAGGGGGGGGTGAGGGTATTAGTCCGATGGAGTCGATGGGCCTTGTTAGGCGTTGTACCATTAATGAAGTTGACTACAATGAAGATACACCGAGGTATCGAAAGAGCAAGAGACAAAAGTGTTTCCCCCAAGGTCTTGTACAAGATTATGAGTGTGGTCGTGAGATAATGGCACGTGTATGAAAAGCGCAGAAGTTCATTTTTGCATTTGCAGACAAAAATGAGATCGATAGGAAATTTGCAAAACTCATACAACACGTGAAGTGTCAAGTGTAAGTTAATTATAAGAAGGAGAAAAAAAGATTACGATTATTAGATAGGTAATCATAGAAATAACTGTTATCTCCATTTGTTGTTTATCTTTTGTCATTTCAGTTCCCTCAAAGTTGGTGGAGTAGAGGTAAGAGGGCAAGATATTCTACAAGTTGCAGAGAGAGTGAAATTTCCTACTGCAAAGGTGAAATATTTTTCGTCAGCTAAGATTTAACAAATATTATATGTTTCAAAAGTTGTATCTTATCTTTGTTCTTCAGGTTGTTGACGTACTAATACAACTAATGAAATCTAGTATACAACAACATTTTAATGCCGACTTCTCAGAAAGAGATGTATACATCGACAGTAAATGTGTTACTGCAATTGTGAGGGCTTATCCAAAATTTTGTAAGAGTAAAAAAAAAGAGGCGTTCAGTTTCTCTAAAGGCTTGGTTAACGCGTTTGGTGATAAGAATGTGTCATTCCTCAACCGTAGACGGTATTATATGCCAATAAACGTATGCAAGAAACATTGGGTAGGTATTTGCGTCGATCAAAGGTCTAGGGGATTTACTATACTTGATTGCAATACAGCCATGTTCTCTGATGAGATGCTAGAAAAACAGCTTGCTCCTTTCTTGGAAATGCTGCCGTATATACTTCGCCAGTCCGGGGAAGGTTTTGATTCTAATGATCCAAACCGATTTGCATTTGAGCGACCCAAAGATGTAAGTCAAACAGAAAATCCTTTTGACAGTGGGCTGATGGCTGTGTTGTTAATGGCAACGCATTCTGTTTATGGTATGGAAGCATGCATGAATATCAGTTCCAACATTCTGGTCGAAGAAGGGAAGAGTGCTGCGATAATGGCTTTTGAGTCAAAAGATATTTTCTGAGTTATAAGATATCGGGAACTTGTTGTAAAATATGTTCAAATGTTTAGTTATAATGTGTGAAACTTGAATTCAAACCGTCTTGAGTGTATGTCCTTTTCGAACTGGTGTATGTTAAAAACTCAGTCGCTTTTTAGTTGCAGCGTCTACTTACTATTTTGAAACCTTGTATATATATAGGGACGTTGTGATCAAAATTTTTTGCAATGTAACCGGTTATACGCCAAAACACATTACTGTATTGTAATTTTATGATGTCTATATACAAGGAAGTTAAGGTCACTTAAATTTCAATTATAACCGGATATACTGTACCATTTCTAGTATTAAAAATTCTTGTTGCTGTTACTATAGGGACGTTGTGATCAAACAATTTTGCAGTGTAACCGGATATACGCCAAAACAGATTACTGTATTGTAATTTTATGATGTCTATATGGAAGGAAGTTAAGGTCACTTAAATTTCAATTATAACCGGATATACTGTACCATTTCTAGTATTAAAAATTCTTGTTGCTGTTACTATACAATTGTTTAAGTTATCGTTATTAAAGTGTAAGGATATTTCAACAACGACCTTGGCAATCTTATTTATATTACAAACCCGGGAATCATACCTTCCTGCCTCATCCAGTTTTAGACATTATTTTACATTACACATGTTTTATTTTTAATATTTTATATTCCACCTTCCTTAACTAACACCTTCATCATCCGAGTGTTGCCAAATTTCGTTGAGGTTAACATATGTTTATATAGGGACCTTGCATGTAGCTCGGTTGTGTCCACTTCCCTTGAAACGGCTGCACACATGTTTCTTTCTTGGTGCTTTCATCTATAAAATAACAAGTTAGGTCGATAATTGTTTTATTCAAAACCAAATTCCAGTTGTTAGGAAATACCCGTATTTCTCCGGTGGATAATATCCTCCTCTTACGGGGCGTCCCGGTGGTCGCCTAGTAGCAGGTGGGAGGACCTCAAATGCAGGTGCTTCTGTTACTTCAGATAGTCGGGTATTGATCTTGCTAACCGGAAATATATTTGATCTATAAGCTGATGCAAGACACTCTAAAGTGTACACATCTGCAGAAAGGGATTCGACTCGTACTTGTCCTTTGATGGAAGCAGCGATAGCATGTGAACAAGGTATCATTAGGGTTTGGAATACATTACAACTACAAGTTTTGTTTCCTAGGTTGACGTGGAAAGATCCTCCTTCTTTGTCCTTCACTTCATACTCGGCACTATTTATCTTGTTTGCCAGCATCCCGCCGCATTGTTCAAAATTTGCTGTAACTATCTCAACAACACGTGGGCTTAAAAGGTTCCTTTCATTCGTCATATCCCTACGCCTTTCTGCAAACCAATTCATCAGTTTTGATCTATAAAATTCAACAAGTGGGAGTATAGGATACTCTCTAGCTTCACGAAGAACATCGTTCCAACTCTCAGCAACATTAGAAGTCATAATGTTGTAGCGATTCACACTGAAATGCACCCGTGCCCAATGTTCAAACCCAATTCCTAATAGGTACTCAGCGCAAGAAGCATTGACTATTTTGATTTGGTTGAACACGGCATAGAAATCAGGAAGACAAAAAGCCCGTGCTGCTTTGCCTACAAGGTAAGATAGATGCTTTTTTTTGAAGTAAGTACGTATGTTTCGTTGCAAATGTAAAATGCATGCACAATGTTTGGCCTCAGGGTAAACCTACAATGAAAACGGATTAAGAATTAGTTACTAAACTGTATAAGCTTCTCGACTTTCATATAGTTTAAAACGCAACTGGTAAATGCACAACCAAATACAACATTTATTTACTAAACAAAACTATAACCATATGTTGTTTAACTTATAATTGTGTACCTTAGATATTGAAACATAAATCGAGGCGTGCCTGTCGGAAACAAAGACAATGTCTTCCTTATTGGGGATGAACTCTAATAACTTTTTGAAAAACCACTCCCATGCTTTGTCATTTTCACCATCAACAACACCCATTGCGAGAGGGAAAATCTGGTAGTTACCCTCTTGGGCTGAAGCGGTCAGTAAGCAGCCACCATACTTACCTCGTAAGTGGGTTCCGTCGACAATAATAACATTACGCATCTGTTTGAACCCATTTATAGAAGCACCAAGCGCCAAAAACAGATACTTGAATCTATGACCAACACCTTCTTCGAATTGTGTTTCCATGTGAGATATAGTTCCGGGGTTTGCTACCACCAGTCTATGAATATAATCCGGCAGCAAGTTATATGACGCACTGGAAGATCCTTTTGCGAACTCGAGTGCAACTTCACGGGAGCGCCACGCTTTCCAGTAAGATATGTTGACATCATGATCACCGAGCATTACTTGCATTATCTCATTAGGGCTTGGTGTACATCCATTACCAACAAATCTTGCCCTCATCACCTCTCCAATAACACCATGTGTGGCTTGGCGTTCATATCCTATTAGAGGATAAATTTTGTGTCATATTTTCAAATTAAGCTGTATGAGTTGGGCAATCAATCGGAAATTAAAGACTTAAGACGGTATTCTTAAACTTCATCTATGGAGTAGATAAGGTAATTCAAAAATTACCTACACGGTCATCAACCGAACAAGAATGATGTAATGATGCTTTTCGGACTTCATACTTGTCGATATTTTTAATATTTGTTGCATACACCCGCCACAAACATGTGCGGCTAATGCATCTCATGACAATTCCTTCTGGAGAAGAACGGGTGTTTCTCATCCTAAACTTGTTGCGCAAAGCATATAGTGCCATATGTTGTTTGAAGTGTCCTTTATTTGAAAACACCATTCCTTCATAAAGATCATGGAGTCTTATAAGACTGTTGCCTGCCAAGTTTGATTTTCTCGTACGAATTAGTGGTTCAAAGCGTTGATTATAGGAAACATATTTCACATAAATATCTTACATTACATACTGCAGCACACATATTAGATATTGCATCATTCCATTACCATGAAAAACCAAAAAAGGATCACCCCGTAGAACTATTTTACATAACATAACCAAACGTTTTATTTTTTCCATTTAAAAGAAAGGATCAGACCCAAACCCACCACTGTCCCCGTCAGCCTCAGAATCGGTGTCCTCTATGTGGATGATGTTTTCACTGCCAAGGTTGTTATTTATTCCAATGCCAAGTGTGAGATCAAGACTTGGTTCTCCATTGTTAGGACCGGTTTGACCATTGGTGACGTGGCTTTGTTGAGTTGTGTTCACATATTCTAAAGCCGGTGTCTCGTCTCCTGTTTTTTGGAAGCCAACCATAGAAATTATAACAGTATTTAACAAATTTCCGAAGATATATATTTTGAAAAAACATAAGTTTTGTTTATTGTACCTTCTACGCTAGTGCTTGAGATGAGTATCACGTTTTCTGCCATCGGAATTGGTGGAGGGAACACATGGTTATTTGGATTGCTGTTAAAACTGTCAGAGGAACCGGTGTAAGAGGCCTCAGCTTCATCAACAAGAAGAACAGATGTTGGTGTTTGGGGCGCTGTGATTCTGAGATTAGGACCAATGGGAAGTCCTGCCGAACCGTTTGTTGGACGGGGGGATGGGGAGACATGGACTTGCGCGTTATCTTCTGCATGGAAAACACCATCCCAGTATGCATGTTCCTCCTCAGTGACCACTTCCGGTATAGTTTGTGAAGGGGGGATTTGCGTAAGTGGTTCCACTGCCAGTGGCATTACATCGGTTCCTATGTTTGGAGGTGCGAAATTAGTAAACGCACTTTGGAGCTGTGCATCGTTTATAGGTTCTCCATGTAACACTACAATTGCAAACAGAACGTGTAACAAGTTGTTAACCGGTTTATATATCTGAGTATATAGTTTATAATATTAGTAGGTACCTCTAAATATGTGTTACCATACTAGTAAAACATGAATAAGTTACTTAGTTTCCCCCTTATTTCACTTTGCTCCTATATTTGTAGTACATTTGTTTACATGAACGCCCCATAAAAGGGCAGATAGACTCAAATATGTCCTTCTTAAAATTATTGTAGAATAGATACCTTCGTGGTTGTTGGCGTTGTGGCTTTGGTCATGGGTGTTCATGGTTTCACCTTCCTCTATGGAAATAATATCTTCATACGTTAAGTGCGGAAATTGGGCCATTTCTTCAGCAGTAGGTGCGTAAACCAGCTCTATCTCAAGAGCAATACGATAAACACTAAGCAGCTGAGGTTCATTGAACATCATCTCCAAGACTGGTTGGCTGCAAACAATGGGGTGTCCCCCAACGAGATCTGAAACATATTATTTTAAGAAATAGTTATTTGTGATTAGTTGCCGTAAATAAGAAACGCTTTCTATAGTCTAATGAAAAATTAATAATAAACTTGGTACGTACTTCTTATGGCTGCGTGATGTTCTTCTTCTGTTATCCCCGCGTCTAGAAAACTTGTCTCACCAATTTTGAAAGGTGAGCGAGAAAGAAATTGATATTTATCGACTAGTTCAGGGCCACTGGCCACGCACAATACCGGTGTCGTCATAAACTCCGTTGCAGTCAACATTGTCTCCACATCTGCATCGGTTGCAACATTTTTCGGTGGAAGGAGGATCATATCAGGGACCCGATATGTTAAGGCAACCGGAGTAAGCACCCCGAGTTCAAGCCGTATACGAATCATCTCCACAACACCTTCGAACGGATCGCCGTGGTTTATTACAACAGTCTCGTTCTCGGTGATGGGGTTTTCAGAAAACCACCACTCCCCCCGTCGCCGTCTTCTCCCATACGCCTTGTACAAATCTTACAATCGTACCCATCTGAAATATATAGGGGAAAACAATATATCGACGTCACTCTCAAGTTTCAAATAATAGGCCTATAGACGTTCTACTTAATTTTATAAATTATGTTGTTTTTATCTATCGGGAACCCTAGAAAGAGATCTGTAATATACCTCGAAAGCTGCTACAAGGAAGAAAATCCAGAAGCTGGAAGAGGAAACCAAAAAGGTATCTTGCTTTCTTACTTAAACGATGATGCTGGAAGTCTCATTTTATAGCCAAAAAGGATATATACTTACACATATACATGTCTTCAGGTCGCTTCTGGAAGAGTGCATTAAATGCGAAGCCGGCTAGCTAGTCGTAGGGGTCACTGGTCATGATAAGTGTAGCTGCAGAGGAAAATATCTCTGACACGCTAGCTTAATTTTGTTAAATATATATACTCGCCATTATCTTCAAGATGTCGGTTTAGTTTCACCTCTTCCGGGTTTGATTAGATTGTAATTCTAATAAGTGCGTGAATCAGTTTGGTTTACGTCCAATTAATGCCGAGTGGGTTGATATTTCCGACCAAAGAAGTATACTATTTCATTTTCAAATGAGTGGACGAGAAATGGTGACGTGTTAGTTACGAGAACCTTCCTTTTCTAACATTAAAAACTCATCCCTTTGCTCTTACTCATCTTCATCTTCTTTTTCCTAATTTCTAAGTACAATGGCCTTGAGTCAAAATTCGGAGGCCTCTATTTATTCCACTCGAAGCTCCGATGGCCCTTTATGTCATTTTTCACAACCGACTATCTTGAAGATATCATGGAGCGATGACAATCCAGGGAGGAGATATTACAAGTGTGAAGACCATGGATTTCTTCTATGGCATGACAAGGAACGAGCGTGCCTTTGGCAGAAGAAGAGTCTGTTGGAGGCGAGGGAGAAGATACTAACACAGACGGAAGAAATTAAGGCTTTGTGTGCCTCTCTCCGTCAAGCACATGGTCAGCTTGCTGCATTAGAGATTTCAAGTTCTTCGTGTTCTGTGAATGAAACTCTGAAGGCCATTGAAAATCGCGTGACGGCGCACATCATTGAGACAGAGAAGGTGTTACGTAAATTGGTTCGCTATTCAGGTGGAGGTTTTGTCTTAGCTACTGCTTTACTCGTTTTTTTCCTTAAAAAGTAGATCTCTGTCCAATGTCTTAACTGTGGTCATGTTTGTCAAGGGTTTGTGTTCAACAAACAAGTTCATCAATCTCTATCGTTCGTAATATATAAATGGAATGTAACCTACAAAAGTGTCTTTCAATTCCAAAAATTAAAGTTAATTTCACGTTCACCTTTTCAACTTCACCCGAAACGGATCGTTGCATATGCGACAAAGTTTGTATTCCACTTTACGAGTACGAGAAGTTGACTATATGTTAAGCATCACCCCAAATTAGCACATTCAATTAACTCTGCGAAGCCCATAATCGAAATACAGTTTACATCATCTAAATTAATTCGGTTAACTTTTTTGGTTGCCAACCAATTCTGTTGTAATCTTTACGTTAACGAAATCGATACATTTCCTTATTTAGTTGTATTTAATCAACAGCCATGTTGGGCTAAATTGTGCACCATTACCTCTTTCTCACACGAAGAGCATATAAATTTAAAAGGACCATTACACTTATGACAATATCTGCAAAAAATTGTTTTCCCTTTTTAAATTTACATTTCTCGTCGAAAGGTGAACATCACGCGCTATGCTGAACAGCTTTCTGATTCAAAATTTGTCGGAATATTGGAAAACAAAACGTTACTTCACCTTTGATATCACTTACATATTCACTTCACTTGTATATTGGTCATAGGAAGAAATTGGTAAGTACAGGAACCCCGTTTGACAACTATCTATCTTATTAAAGTTGTAGTACTCTTTAGGTTTGTTTGGAAACTTAAATAGTAATAATAAAGAGTTTAATGTTGTTTGGCTATAAGTTTAAACGAGTTGGGCTTTTAAACATTGTTATAATAGAATTGGGCTTTTGTTTAATTTATTTTATGTTATGGTTGGCTTTAATCATTTGGCCCATTGTATTAATTTGTGTTTTAGTTTATATTTTATATAAAGACCATATTCAATTTTATTTATTGTTGACTAAATTAAAAATAACATCAGTTTTTAAGATAATAACAATTTACATTTCAAATAATTTAATACTCAAATATATTTTATCTAGAGTATTTTACATTATTCAAATTATCATAAAGACACAAAATATTTGAATAATTTTAACTAAAATATTAAAATTTTGTTTTCGTAACTGGATATTTATCCGAAACACCTATCCCCCCCCCCAAAATCAGTTTTACCCCGATTAATCTAAAATTAATCCTAGAAATCGTAACCAAACCGTTATCATATTGGAACCAAAAATTTATCTGATATTAGTCGGTTATTATAATTATTACCAAACTCAGCTCAAACCAAAAGAATCGAACCGGACGCAAATCAATTTATATAGATAACAGAACAGATTTTATATCTGTAGAATTAAAAAAACTACGAACATAAAGAATCCAACAAAAGTTGAACCCAAAATCAAACCCCAGTCCTATATTACATTCAATACGATTATAGTTTTTGAAATACGGTAATAACCGATGACTTATGAATATATTATGCTTTTCCAAATTAAGTTAAACCCGCGCTGGTGCGCGGGTCAAGATCTAGTACCCAATTAAAAAGTTATCCCCTTTTGTACCTAAATAAATTTCCTTTCTTGTATATTGGCGCAAATCTCTCATTTTAGATTGACATTATTATGAAGCGTCACATCCTTACACATTTTTACATTCTCTCACAACTAATGATTAAAAATGAAAAATACATACGTTTTTAAAAAAGAATCTCTATTATGATGCAGTTTCTATAATGGAAAGACACAATTCACAAACTTCGAAATTATGAACATACAACATATTCTTATCATGGAAATCTTCTTCAAATTGTTTGATATATTTACTGTTAATAGATCCAACAATTGTTTCATTCAACAACAAAATAATCTTTTAATAGATGAATTTAACACTGGTATATATATATATATATATCGTGGAGGGAGCCAAGGATAATGAACTAAGACAGTAGTTGCTTTTTCATTTCTACCTTTTTCATCTCTACCTTTGAAACAAATTTTCCGAGGCAGAAGTTTACCAAGATCCACTTCAACTAAGATTCTTGCCACATAATCGAATACACCGCTCCGTATTTGATGCAATTTCACAAACTTGCTTGTTCTTCTAGCCTGGAAGCTTAAACCTTTCTCATCATTTGTAATAGAAGCTATATAATGATATACCTAAATATTTTTTTCTAGCTTTCACTTTTATCTTTATCTCAAAACTATTTGTCCCGGTGAGAGTTTCATCTACTGGGCATGAGCAAAAGGTTTAGTTCGGCCAAATGTAGCTCGGTTTGTAGTAATCTATTTAACAACGCATTACCTATAAGTTGCCGGATTTTTATTTATATTTATTAAATAAAGATCAGAAAGGTCTTTATTAGCAAATGAGATCATCTTCGAGCGTAGTGTACCATATTATAATACGAACCTATATTATATACACTCAAAAGAATTAAACTAGTTGCGTTTGGAACCTATGGATAAAAAAAAAGAGTTTGATATATTGCATGTTTATCTAAACAAGTAAACGTTAAGCCCATGGAGTGAAAAGAAAAACACTAAAACACATTTCTTACAACAAGATTTTGAATTCATTGACCAATAACCACATAATTAAATGAAACATTTTTAATCGAGAAACAAAGTCCCATATGTCCACAGTTTCTAAAGGGTTAAGAGTGTCAAAGATCCATACAAACATATGCAAACTTACAGACATGTGTAAATATATGTTTTTGTTTTTATAGTGTAAAAGAAGAAAGATGCCTTCGGCTTCTTATTTCATTGATGAAAATATGATTTATACAAACAAAACAAAAAGACAAAAGTGTAACGGTGGATCATTCATTAAAGTAAGAGTAAACAAGGCCTCCATTCTTTTGTGTGTGTATTTGTGTGTCTACCTAATTTAAAATCTATAGTATAAGTAGTAAACAGCTGCCAATTCATTGGAGCTGTCTTAGATAGTGTCACATGGAAAAGCATTGTGTTATATTAAGCCCCATTCATTATCTGTTCTTCCCTCCTTTACAGATTATCCTTTGGACCTTTCTGTAACCAAAACAAACAATAAACAACATTATCAACGGAAATATTCTCAAATTGGTTATACATCCACTATGTATGACTCACAGACTCCTAAAATGATAGTAACCAAAGCAACTTTAGTATTTAATAATCAAGTCATTAGTATATGCAAGTTGGTGGTCCGTATTATATGGAAACAGTAATATTTAAAACGAAGAGGTGTGTTTTGTTACCTGAAACTTGTAAGTAGAGACCAAACCCCATAAGATGTTGCATTTGATACGTATATTTATATACATATATCTTTATTGTAAATATATATATATATATATGTACAAGTGTTAATAGTCTTCTGATATTAGCTATCTGAGTCTCTCTTGTAGGAGTATCTTTTGGTATCTGGGAAACACATTCTTACAAGCTGAAACCTGCAACAACAAACCCAAGAATTTAAACCTTAAACTATACTAGTCACAGTTCATTAAGAAATAACCATGAAGTGTATCTTAAATTAGGTGTTAGTGATATTGTCATGGCCTAGTAGATTAGTAAAGCAATCCATCATTATTCACCTAACACGGTTCGCACTCGGAAACATCTTCATTTAGGAAAATGTGATTTATTCTTTTGAGGGCCCTATTAATCCTACTTATTCGTCACTATCTAGTATTTTTATAAAGTAAATTATTTTAAACATAAAAAGGTGTTAATCAAAATACAATTTATTTTTTTTTTTGGATGGGAGTGGAAAATCAAAGCTTCTGAATTGACTAGTCATTTTCCAAACGTATAAACGACATACGAACTTCAAGAACCCTGTAGTACCCAAAAATGTGTAAACTAATATCTAATGTTCACAAGCCATTTCTGACCGAGTCTGAATTTTATAAGTGGGTAGAAGAAGAGCAGCTCAGATATTTAAAAAAAAAGACAATATTTAAAACTTAATACTACAACTAATGTTTCTGTAACGGTAAAATTAATTAATTTTAAATTGAATGATAAAGGAATAATCAAACGTTGAGAAACTTACGGATTCGATGTCGATCTTGAAGACTAAGAGTTTTCTCCTCTCTCTACAACTTGTTCTATACGCCACAACGATATGACCGATGGCTAAGACCCACGAACACACAAACAGAGCCACTTCCTCGGTTCTGAACTTTCCTCCGATCACTGGCTCGCCAAACACAACAGCTGCCTTAAAAGATACATAGATCAATGAACATACTGAGCAGATCATTGTTATTGTCAGATATGGTCCCCTTGATAGCTTTGGTCCGTCACAGAGCCCGTAAACGCCTGTCATAAAAAAACATATGATTATACAAACTTTAAGAACAGAGCTATGGATTTTTTTGATAAAGAAGCTTGTGGGGCTACTTACAGAGTATAATGGCAGATCTAATGATGGAGATGAGAGGAATATCGATGAGGGAGTATCTGAAGTCGTAGTTGCTGAGATGAGAAGAAACCGTGGCCGGAGAAAGACGAAGGAGAGAAGAGAAGGAGGAGAGGATGATGGAGGGGAGGACGGCGTCTGCGACGGAGAGGAAGATAGGAGCAGAGAAGAGGATGAAAGAGAGGAACATAGTGAAGAGAACGAAGATCGTCTTCACTCCTCTCCAAAGAGAAGATGTATATCTTCTTGTTTTGCTGATCTCTTCTTTGCCAATCAGACCCATCTTTTGGTTTTTTCTTCTCTTTGTTTCTTTTTTTTCTTTTTGTTTGAACAACGGATTTGTATTTGATGCAAGTGTGATTTGTTTAGAGAGGTTTTTGCAGAGAGGGTTTTTAAAAGGGTCGAAGAAAATAAAAAAAATTGACGATGCTGATGTGTAATTTGTGTATTAAATTAATATTTTTGACCATATAATGACATTTTCTGTTGGATTAAAACATTTGATATGGTATGATATGAATATTGTTTTGGACGTCTTTTGCAAGGAGATATTATTCTTTTTTTTTTCGGCAAAGATTTTTTATTGATTATTGTCTAAAAAGACTGTTTCATATAAAAAGTTTGGGATCGAATGGAACAAACTCCAATCAGTAGAAGCTAAAATAGCTTTCTTTGCTAGTATATCTGCACATTCATTACCTAATCGTTTCACATACTGGAAACGTACAGTAGTAAAATAAGATTGCCATGCATAGACTGTTGATAGAAAGTGCTTGAAACGAGGACTTGGAGTTCTATTATTGATGTATCTGGTTACTGATATATTGTCCCCTTCAAAAACCACGTTTGTGTAACCCAAAGCAGAGCAAGCTTGTAGAGACCATATTAGGGCTGTCAATTCCCCCTCCATAACAGTAGTTCTCCCTGCATATTTTCCCATAGCTGCATGTAGTACCGTTCCTTGGTGGTTTCTAATGATCCATCCCATACCTGAAATTTCATTATCCTGGTGATGCGAAACATCGTAATTGCATTTGACATAGCCAAACGGTGGAGGTCTCCATTCTGTACGTACTGGTGTATGATTAGTACCATGAGGAATTGCACTTATATTCTTTGTTGTTAGACTAATCCACTCTTGAATATCATCTTTAGCCTTTTCTAAAACTTCTTCAGGGGTGAAAGATTTCTTGTTAAAAATTAGATCATTCCTAGATTTCCACAACCTCCACACTATCCAAACCAAGAGTAAACGCTGTTCTTGAGGGATTTCTTCATTCCCAAGGTATGAGAAAAGAAGCCGTAATTTAACATAAAGGGTAGTAGTTGTATCAGTAATACTACTTGGACATGATGATAATCGCCAGACTTGCTGTGCATATGGACATGTGAAAAACACATGATCAGATGTTTCCTCTTCTAAGCAGCAACGAGCACAAACAGAATCCGTAGGAATATGTCTTAATCGTAGATTCCCTTTTGTTGCAATGATTCCTGAACCTATTCGCCAGAAAAAGTGTTTTAATTTCGGCGGAATTGGTGAGTTCCAAATACTTTTGGTGATGTCAGGTGCAGAGGCCAAAGGTAAAGGAAGCACATCTGGTTGATGATTTTGAGTGATGAAATGGTAACCAGACTTGACTGAATAATTGCCATCAGTAGTATATGGCCATATTACATCGTCCTCTGTTTCTATAACTGGGAGATATATTTTTTGGATAATCTTTATATCCTCCTGCTCAATCAGATCTCGCATCGTTTCTAAATCCCAAAGCTTCAAAGAGGAATCAATTAGAATCTTCACTGGTAATGTTGGGTTGGTATAAGGCAAAAGTTTTGGTCGTCTTGGAGGGTTGGTAGGTACCCAATTATCATCCAATGTAACCTGAGTACCATTGCCTATACTAAACTGCATTCCTTTGGTTAATAAGTCGCGCCCATGTAGTAATGAATGCCAACCGTATGAACCTTTATGACCCTTAGGAACTGACCAGATTGTTGTTTTTCGAAAGTAGCGATGCTTTAAAACTCTGTGAACCAAACTCTGTGGACGTTGGTGTATTTTCCAAACTTGAGAACCAAGCAAAGCTTGATTAAACTTCTGTAAATTACGAAATCCCAGACCACCCGTTTGTTTGGACATTGGGAGACGCTTCCAAGATAACCAGGACATCCTCTTCTTAGTTGGTGTAGATCCCCACCAGAAACGGGAAAGGATAGAGTCAATTTCCGAACATAACTCTATAGGAAGTTTAAAACAATTCATCGAATATACTGGCATTGCATAACCTACTGACTTGATCATGATTTCCTTGCCAGCATTATTTAAAAATCTTGTTTCCCAACCAGTAACCTTTCCTTCAACACTATCTCTAACGTAAGCAAACATTTGTTTTTTATTACGGCCAAACTGCTCCGGTAAGCCTAAATACTTACCTCCTCCACCAATGTTAGGAATGCCTAAAGTAGCTTGTACTGAATCACGTGTATTTTGGTATACTTTCGATCCAAAAGTGATTGTAGATTTGTCCAAGTTAATCATTTGCCCTGAAACCAACTCGTATTGATTAAAAATCTGGAGAAGCCTTTGACTATTCTGCAAGTTCGCTTGTAAGAAAAACAAAGAATCGTCTGCGAAAAGTAAATGTGAAACTGGAGGTCCTCCAATACTGATCCGCAGAGGTTGAAGCGTACGAGAATTGATAGCTTCTTGGATTAAAGAGCTTAAAACATCAGCACATAAAATAAACAAAGTTGGAGACAGCGGATCACCCTGTCTAAGACCTCTAGAGCTCTGAAAGTGACCATAAGCTGTACCATTTATTAGAACCGAAAAAGAAACCGTTGAAACACACTTCATAATTAGCATTATCCAATGCTCACAGAAACCTTTTTTCCGCATAACCTCTTCAAGCAACTTCCACTCAATTCGATCATAAGCCTTACTAACATCAGTTTTGACAGCCATGTAGTTTTCAGAGACTCGTTTTGTAGCTTTAAGGGAATGGAAAGCCTCATGTGCTAAGAAAGTATTATCAGTGATGTGTCTTCCAGGTGTAAAAGCGGCTTGATTTTCTGAAATAACCTCATGTAATATTACTTTTAGACGTAATGATAAGATTTTAGAGATAATCTTATACATAACGTTACATAAAGCAATTGGCCTAAAATCCTTCATGGTTTGTGGTAATGAAATCTTTGGTATGAGGCAAAGATTGGTATGGTTTACCTCAGATTTAAATTCACCAGTACGGAAGAAAAATCTAACCTCATCAATAACAGCTGGTCCAACTATGTCCCAATAACTCTGATAAAAGCTTGCTGTTAATCCATCGGGGCCTGGCGCACGTGATGAACCAATAGAAAAAACACTCTGTTTGACCTCCTCATCAGTAATTTCTCGGAGAAGAAAGTCATTACATTCATCTGATACAACTGATGCAATATTGTTCAAACAATCTACTACATTACCCTGATCTTGAGATGTAAATAGCTCTGAGAAATAGCGTTGTCCTTCCATACCAATCTCCTTATTTCCAAAGAAAGTGTCTCCTAATGCATTCTGAATACTCAAAATCCTATTACGAGCACGTCTGTTCCGTGTAGACGCATGAAAAAACCGGGTATTCCTGTCGCCATAGTTTAGCCATAATACTCTGCTCTTATATCTCCAGAAAGCCTCCTCATCTTTGTATGCTTGCAGTAAATCCTTACGAAGTTCTTGTATCACACGTATAGAACATGAAGGATCCGAGTGAGCTTGATCAATTAATTCAGTTAAAGCTTTAATACGTTTTGAAGCGTTTGTATTATTGGACTTCTTCCATTGTGAAATAGCATGTCTACATTGCTTTATTCGTTCAGACACAGGTATCTGTTGAGTAGAATCAGTACCATTCCAGCCGCTTTGAATAACTTCGTGAAAACCTTCCCGACCAACAAGTCTAGTATCAAAACAGAACATTTTTTTCCCAACTTCCGTTGTTCTTCTAATTTGAATAATTGCAGGTCTATGATCAGATTCAATCATCTCAAGGTAAGTGATCATTGTAGCCGGAAATTTTGCTCGAAATTCATCATTTCCAAAGCCTCTATCTAACCAACTCTGTATTGAATGACCTTTACGATTTCCAGACCATGTCATATTATTGCCTTTAAACGGTAGATCCTGTAGTTTACATGCCTTAACCATTTGATTAAAGTCAACCAGACTCCAAGCTTCACGAGGCTTCCCACCAATTTTCTCCTCTGGTTTCAAAACTTCATTGAAGTCACCACAAAGTAACCACGGTCCATTCCGTGTAGCTGACATTCTTTGTATTTTTTCCCATAAGTGTTTACGCAAAGCACGAATTGGGTGACCATAGATACAAGTAAAATACATAGAACCATCTTTATTATTAATCACACAATCAAACATGCGTTCGTCCATAGCATTGATAACAATATCAACATCATTGTTCCAAAGCAATGCTAAACCCCCTCCTATCCCTCTAGGAGACACACATCGAACCCTATTAAAACCTAGTTGTGTACAAACATCACGTACAACATCATCACAATTCTTAGTTTCCATCAGAAAGAGTATGTCCAGGGAGAAAGCAGACTTCATCCCTTGTAGGCGTCGAACTGTCAAGGACCCTTTCAAGCCTCGACAATTCCAAAAGGCTGTATTCATTCTGAAACCGGTGGCTTCGGGCCCACCGTACCGTCACTGGTTGGTTGATTGTGTTGTCCTGGTACCGAAGCATTCGAAGAGCTTGCCTCCGAATCATTAGCACACTTATACCATTGTCTTGCATCAAAAGACTCTCGCCTCCTCCTTGAACTCCGAGTAGTATGCTTGATGAAATCATCACAAGACACCGCTTGCCGTAAATCGCAACATACGTAGACCATCTCTGGGACAGGATGATTCTGTTTTGCGTTTTTTGCTTGGTGTTGCATCATGGTCAGAAGTTCCCGTATCCATCGATGGGGAAACATCATGATCAGGAGTTTTATGTTCAGCAGTCTCTTCAAAACCAGGGGGATGACCTTCTTCTTCATCACGATCATCATTATCATCAGGAGGGTCATCACCATTACCCTTAACTTGGTTTTGTGGACACTCCGGGGAATCATGAGTCATTAGACCACACACATGACAAAAGCCTCGTAATTTCTCGTAGCGTAATTTGAGAACCACCGTCTGATCTCCAAACCTAAACATACGTTGAAAGCGCAGAGGATAATTGACGTTTAAAAGCATACGAATTCTTACATACTCAACGTTATGAGTCC